GGAATTTTCAGATCACCTAGATTTATTTTGGTTTTAGAGTTTGAGTGGTTATTTGTAAGTTATTCAACTAATGTGTTGCCATGACTCAGTCTGAAGGAGGAATTTTGCTCCCAGCAAAAGAAGATTTAGCATCTTAATTGAATGATTATAAAACAGAAACAGACTGACCAGTATCCTGAAAATCTGAAGATAGGAGCGGCAAAAATGGGAGCTAATCCTGCCTGCAAAGTCCAAGTGATTAGGGAAACTGGGATTTGGAGTTTGACATAAGCCAATTTATTTTGGGGTGATATTAGTGAGGTGGGGCTCATAAAGCACAGTTCTGATCGATTCCCACACATGTAAGTCTTCACCCCTGCTTTCTTCAAATCATTGGAATGGGCGCTGTCTGACCCCCTCTGATGGCATGTGTGGGGGTGAGAGAGGCTTTCTTCCTTCAAGGCAGTTTGGTGCATCTCTGCCTGCTCAGGGAGGGGGGAGCCTGGCATAATTCCAGAGGCGATTAGTGTTGTATCTGTTATTTCACAGGCTTGAATGTGTTTGGGTGGAAGAAGGGGAACCCTGTAATTTCATAGCTGTTAGAACATTTCTGCTAAACCTCTTTTTATCCTAGAATTCTGAAAGGATCTCAGCGTTCAAGATGATTTGAGGGCATCGTGCAGAATAGAATGTACCCATAGTTACTAAGTCCTAATGGTGCAAGTGGGGAGAGTATAAATATTTCCTCCAAAATATCAATGATCATTTAGACCCATTGTTTTGTGAGATGGAAGTCCTCTTTTCAGTTATTTGAACTCTGAGGAATTTTCTCCCATAGATAGAAAATCAGAGTCAGAAGCTTAACTTAGACCAGTTAGAAAAAAGTACTGCACTTAAAAATTGTGCCAACACTGCTTTGTTTAGGAAAAAATGTACGATTTGGGTTAAACCAAATTTTGAGTTATCAACTATTTCAACACTCACATTCATCCTGCCTGTAAAGTTTAAGCACTATTTTTAAATTTATAGGTTCTTTGAAGTACATTCTAGATGACTGCCGTGCCCATTAGAGCAACAACCATGCCGTGCTTTTTTGTCATCCTGGGTCATTTTCATCCAATGCTTAGTAATTTCATTGCACTTGCATACTTAGGTGAAGACGCTCCACCCAGCATCCATGGGTCAGCTATGTGGACTCTAGCTGCCAAAGGCGCTTCTCCATCTGAACAGAGCGCTTTGCTCAGCCAGTGTAGACATGGCCTGATAAACAATGGAACTTCTCCTTTGAGAGCTGAAGGTTGGATTGATCTAAATGTTTTAATGCAAAAAAAAAAATGTGCACAGGTTTGATGAGCAGTTAAAATGCCTTCCTTTTAGTAAAATGGGACCTTAAATTGACAGTAATGTGAAGAATAGCATAATTTATAATGAACTTGAAAGGCAGTAACACTCACAGTTGCACAAGCTAATCAAGGGAATATCAAATCAAAGTTTTAACCTGAGCTTAAGTATCTGTGACAAGGAGGTTGTTCCTGCAGGTTTATATCTGTCAGGTCTTAACACTACACCTGTCAGACTGCAACATGGCCTTGTCACTTTAAACCAAGATGTCACATATATTGTGGGAAACAACCTGCTTTGTGTTTTCTTCTCTAAGATTTTACTAGGAAAGCCGGTGTAAAAGGTTGTTTTTTTTTTTAACACTACAATTTTGCTTTTCAGATTCTCAGGCTGACGCAGTGAGTGGTGGAGTGGGTTGGCAACTGTAGTTCCTCCGCTTGTGCAGAATGGCTGCAGGGAGCAAAAGGAGACATGCCCAGCAGAGTCTGCCCAGGGTGAAACAGATGCCTTTGAGGTTTCAATCAGGTGTGTGAAGAATGCTGGCGGCAGAATTTGGGGTTTTTTTGTTGTTGGTGTTTGTTTTCTTTTTCTTTTTTTTTTTTTTGCATTTATAATTGTCAAGGAAAGTGGGCAGATTTGTGGCTTTGCCTGTCTACCTGACTCTTTTAATGCTAGAAAATATCCACAAAAGGTTAACCTAGCTTCTCTCCTAGGGTTTGATACGCATTACTTCACCACCTTGAAAGGCACGGTTGTGGTTTTTCATAGACAAATACAGTTTGGGAGATATCTTAACATTGAAAATTGAAGTTCCATGGCTTTCTTTACAGTTTGTCTATTTCCTTAGAAAAGTAAATGCTATTGGCAGTATACGAGTTAGCTACAAAGTAAGGGAGAGAACTACTTTCAAGTTATCTTTAAAAATATATGCTCACTTTATCTTTAAAAAGTTCTTAAATGGCTCAGAAAAATCAAACTAAGGTATTTTTTTTTCAGAAAATGTAAATCACTTTTCTTTACAGGATACAATTGTACTTAATAGCCTCTTTTGAATTCATTCAGAAACTACACGATTTTTTGTTGCTATATTTTGTTAGAAAGGAAGGAGAGGCTGTTTCTACAGGTGTCATAAAAAATCAGTACTGAGCCATGGATTGTTGGATCCCATAGAACCATGGAGACTTGGCGCTGAAATTCTCCCAAAGGTGAGTAGGGGCATTGATTTTCCTTCTCATGCCAGAAGAAATACGACACATGGAATAGAAGCTAAATTTAGACTTGAAAACAAATCTGATTTGAAACTATGCCTTCAAAAAATTAGTGACAATTATTTCAAAACCTTGAATGAGGAAATTGAGTGAAAATTTGAGCAATAAATTTTTGTAATATTCTCTCTTCGATTTACTTCTTTTCTTTATTACCTTGAGGATTTGGGGAGAAAACATGAAGTATTTGATCAACACTTTATCTGTAATTCAGATCCAGTGATTTTCTTGTGGAATACTTGTGTCATGCAATGCAAAGTAGTCTCTCTCTTAAACCCATAACCAAGAGTGCAATACTCCTTCAGCTTCTAAGAAAAAGTGTGTTACATACACAATCATGTTTAAAAATATGAGCTCATCTCTAAGCTTCCTTCTTTAAACTGTATGTTTTGCCAGCTAATTTGTGCCAGAATATTTAGACACATACTTGCTTAATTGTTTACTTATTTTACAGTTTCTTCTAGATGTGGCAAAGTTGAAAAGCTATACCTAACGCATTGGTTGTTTTACTGCATTGCTTAGTATTCCGTCCGTGCAGGCAGACGGTGTTCCTAGGTTTGGGAGGATAAATCCCAGGGGAAGTAAGCTGAAGAACATTTTATGCATCACTCATTCTATTACGAGCCCTCTGCTGTTCCATCCCTACAAGGTAAGAGATTTATTGTGCGCCGGCTTCTGGCAGTAGAAAATGACGTGTGCTAATGGCTCTTGCTTCAAAGGGTATGTTTTTGGAACTCCTAATGGGGAGTATGGAAATCGTTTTATAAGTAAAAGAATAATTGGGACAATTGAAGTTGTTCACACACGGTCTAGCACGTTCATCTGTCCCCAGGTAGCATTTGGTCGTTCTACCCTGGGACCCACATTCTGTAGTATTGTCTTCCTCGTGTTAAGTGAGGTGGTAAATTGGTCATTTTTACAATGAATTTGAACAGTCTGTGATCAAAAAAGATAATTCAGGTCTCAATGTAGAAAATGACCAAATTACCAGTTTGCTACATCTGGAGGTAGGTATAATTTGAGTTTTAGAGTTTTGTGAGATCAAAAATTGATTCTGAGAAAATTAAATTATAAAATGCTACCAAGTTCATGGTAATATATACTATTGCCTTAATATCAATTTTTTCTTACTGCTAGCCAGTAGAAAGTTCTTACTTCTTTCCCCCTTATTTTAAACTTTCAGACTGGCTGAAGCAACAACAACCTTACAATTTATACTCTAATTTTGGATCATGTAGTTAATACTTTAATGCTGATTACCTTGAAAGTCAATGTCCTATAAGAAAGGCTATTTGAATGCTGCTACTATATCAGTAATAAAATAGCTGGGAGAAGGCAACATTCAGGATGTACCATCTGATGAGGTAAGATTTTATCATGTCCCATAGAGTAAGATTATATTCGATTTTGTTTGTCATTATCTCAGCCCCAAGAAGGTTTTCATTTATCAATTACACATGGGAACCTGTAATATAGAGCTTCATATACACTGTCTAAACTTGGGACCAGTTTGAAGCATTGAAAGCCAAGCTATTTAATGTATTTTCTTTATGTATTAATTATACTGTTTTACTATTTTTCATCCTTTCCAGCTTAGAAAATCATGACTCATTAAACATGTAACCTATTTAAATGAAAAATAAATTACATACAGTATCATGGTATGGGAGGGAAAGGCATACTGTTCTTTTACTTGGGACAAGGTTTAACTGTCAATGTATGCATTTTTAAATGTGAACAAACCCAAGACAATGGCATACTTTAAAGTGCTCTAAAGTTAAAATGGGAAACAAAGATTTTGTGGTAAGTGGCAGCCTTGTTTTTGCTGTTGTAATACTATAACATCTGCATTAGAAAAAATGTACAAAAAGCAATGAATGAAGAGACAATGAAGGAACTGGACTGATGGGTAGTTCCCAGTCTCTGTAGATACAGTTCGAGGATGTTAAATATGTAGCCCTCTTTACCTGATACACATACTCTCTAATCCAGCAAAGTGGTCAGGTGCACTCTTTGTATTCCAGAAAGACTAGTGTTTTCAACATTATTTATGTTTATTCCAAAATCTCCAACAATATATGAAATATATTTTAGCATTATCTGAGTAACAGGATAGCCGCTCTTTTCTCTTGGGGTTAAAACCAGCACACGACTTTTCCAAAGATGTCGGAAAGATGAATGTCTACTAGATAATCTGTGGTCTGTAAACTATCGTGAATTTCTGTGGGAAGAAGTGGCAACTAACTGAAGCATAATTATCCTCAACGTGAAAACAGTCTGGGATGCCGCGTTCAGCCAGCACGGTGTCTTGGATCCATTACCGCTTTCTTTGCTTGCTTTGTTGTCGTCCTCCAGGTTCTCTCTGGGTCCACCTCTCTTTTGTTTCCCTTTGACTCTCTGTTGTATTCCAGTTGGCGGTGGAAGAACAGAAACAGAGCAGTGAGGCTGCGTGGCTCCATTTTCCAGTGCCACCAACTGTGAGTTAAGCTGACTAACATTGTGAAAACCCGGTCCATTTCGGTCACAGCAGGCGTGGCAGGTAAAAGCATTTCTGTATTAAAGTACACACTTTGTTTGTTCGGGTCCTTGGTCTAATTTCTCTTGTTTGCCAGTTGGGGGGAGAAATGAAAATAGGTTGAGGACCAAATGCCTGGGGTATTTAATCAAATGCTCAGTAACTCTTGATGAGAGGATGCAGAAATTTCACTTTCAAGGATTAACTGTGGTGGATTTTGTCCACCCAAATGCGTGTCTCCTTCCACTCAGCCTGTTATCTGGCTCCTTTTTGCCACTGCCTAAATATGATGTAGTGGAAGAATTCCAAATAGGTTTTTTTTGCCTTTTTTAAAAATTGTTCAAGTACAATAACTCTTGGGTTAGCAGAAGCTAAACATGCAGGGTGAAAATGCCCACTAAATATAGGTATTTCTGGAGTTTCTCAAACAGTGCCTTTACATGCTATTGTTTACTTCTATTAAAACAAGACATAGTTTAGTTTGATGTAGTCCCATTTATTTATTTATTTATTTATTTATTTATTTATTTATTTATTTATTTATCTTTTGTTTCCCTTGCTAAGAAGCTCTATCAGATAAAATATTGCTACGAGCAATGTCCGAGGTTTTACTGCCTATGTTTTCTTCTAGAATTTTTATGGTTTTGAGTCTAACATTGAAGTATTTAATCCCTTTTGAAGTTATTTTTGTGTGTGGTATAAGAAGGTTTGATTTTTCTGCACAAATCTATCCAATTTCTAGAATCTTCTGATCCGTAGTCAGACGCGTTATCCATTGCGCCACTGGCCCCGTACTTCTATCCAATTTCTGATTTCACTGTGCTTTGTTAATTTGATCACTATTTCGTAAGTGGTAAGTACAAACCTCCTTAAATACTTTATGAAGCTCATTTAACCAAGCAAATATCCTAAAATGCATCAGTATGTTGACGCTTGACCTTTTGACCTGTCACCTTGCCGTGTCCTATGCCTTTTTCTCATGTCCTTGTGATGAGCGTTCAGGGAGCAGAAGGGGGGAGGAAAGGCATCAGCCCTTCTCTGTGAGCAGCGGCGGGCTGTGGACTGTCTCCTGAGGGGGTTTGCAAGTGGTGAAATTGGGATGAATAATGTCAGTCTGCATTCACACTGAACATATTTTTAGGAAGCTTCAGAGGACTATACAGGAGTCACTTAGGAGGGATAAACATATTATATATTTAAGGTGGGAGAACTAAATTGCTGAGATGTGTCAGAGGATAGTGATACTATCGAGCTCATTTTACAGATAAATCTAAATGTTCCTCACCTAGTTCCCGCGTGCCGTATATTAAAATAAATTTCACGAAGTCTCTTCTTCACTGGAGTTAGGGGCGTTGACATTCTTCTTCTTGCTCTGGAGTGTACCCTTGTTCTGTGTTACATTCTATGACCATTCTATGAATATATCTTACCAGGTTAGATCAAAAGTTAACAGAGGGTGCCATGGGAAAATAAAATAACTTTCTAAAAAAGTTTTAACAAGAAAGAAAAAAATAGAAATGATCAAGGGTACCATGACTGTGCCTGGAATCTTTTCAAAAGTGTGAGGTCCCTTCTCTGTTAGCAGTCAGATAAATTCTTTAACCATGTTGGCCTCAAGTTGACAGAGGCTTTTTATTTATAAATGTCCCTTGGGGTCTGGGACGAATCTGTGATGCTCATTTATTTTCTAAAGAAAGGTTCAGGATCAATAAGTTCAAAATATTTCAAAGTTACCGTGTACTTCTCTGCTTGACTAACTCAGCACTGTGTGGACAATACCCAGATTCCTTTGGGCACTCGGCACGGCAACCTCCACTGCACTTCAGGGCACTAATTGGCCTCCCGGCTGTCTGATGGCCTCAGATCTAACATTGGTTGAGTGGGTGCTGCCTGGTTTTCCAAACCATTTCTGCAGAGACTCATGGTTTGGGATGAGGTGAGAGGGTGGGAGACAAGGATTATATTTTGGCATTTCTTTTTCTAATTTGAATTCAAAAACACTGGAGAGGAAATGTCATTCTTTTAGTTTTGGTTCAAATAACGGCATGAAATGTGAATCACAACATAATTGTCATGGAGAGGGGAAAGGGAGGGAGTCAATTATTCCTTAGCTGCTCTGGTTCTCAGGAACCTGCTATGCTGTTAATCTGCTAAAAGGAAGGGTGCACAATTTCTCTTTACTATGACATTAAAAAACCCCAGTTCTTTAGGTAGAGTCATGTTAAAATAGAAACATCACAGTTCCATAATCCAGGATAAATACATGCATTCATGTCTTCATATGCATATACTTATCCAAATATTTCCATTAAATACTAAAAATGGAGGAAAGGAGAGAACAGGATTTCCTAAGGGTTTAGGAGTCTTTCTTTCTCTCTTTTCTTTTCTTTCTTTCTTTCTTTCTTTCTTTCTTTCTTTCTTTCTTTCTTTCTTTCTTTCTTTCTTTCTTTCGCAGATACTAAAGCAAGTCCATTTTTAATGTAGAGCATTGGATTGTAGCTTAGAATTTCACTGAGATTTTATATTCTGTTCCATTATGTGTCATGATGACTTTATTATATAAAAGTTTTAACCTCCTTACCTTTGAGTAAATCTGGTATTTGAGATGAGTGGACCAGGTTTGCCCTTTAATGGCCTGTTCAGAGAATGTTTATTGAGCTTGTACTATGTGCTAGGCACTATTTTTACCTCTCTCCAAGTGTCTCTCAGAGCCCAGACACTTTTATTTAAGTCTGAAAAAGCACAGGATACAGACACACACAGTTGTGAGATTGATGAATTGGCAGTTGATAGGTGGATGTAAAATGACACAGCAACTGAATACCGGGTACATTTTTCTGCCCAGGAATTTTATATGATCATTGTCAGAATTTAGCAGAAAGCCTCATCATAGTTGTGTATTTTTGTTGAACTTAAAGCAATTCCTTCAAGCTTTAGGAGATTACATTTTCGCTGTTTTTTACAGGTACAGAAAGTTCTTATTTTCCATTTCTACTTTGGACAAATGCTCTGCACTTACTATTTATATCCTTCTGGTTTCACTTTTCCCTCCCTCTCCAACTTTTCTGATGATTGACTGCTGCATTTTTTCTCCACAGTCAAGTTTGGATACTTGTGTGTGGTAAACCAGGAGGTTAAAAACTAAGTGGAGAGGGGGCCCTGGCTTCTTTGCTGCAGGGTCTAAATTGTGTGTGTGTGTGTTTTATGACGGAAACATTGCCATTTACGTTGAGCACACAAATATAGCGGTTTAATTGCAATTGGAATGACTCATTTGAGTTTTTACTACTTCCTAGCCAAATAAAAGATTAGTTTCTAAACCTGCTCCTTCAGTTATTAAATGGGAAAAGTAACCTACCCACCCATTTGAAATACTGTAAAGATTAAATGCAGTAGTGAATGGAAAGCACAGGCTTGGCATATAATAAGAGATAAAAATGTTAGCAATGATCTATAGGGTTACTGTTATTTATTGTGTCTACAGATACACACCTACCCCACACACACACGAGTTTTCTGTATGATGCATTAGTCAAAGAATGATGGCTACTGTTAGGCAAAATTGTGCAAAGGACAGATCTGCCTTCAACATTAGCAGCTTTCATTGAGGTGATTCTCTCCTTACTCCCTCCAAATGCCCAGCACCCTGCCTCTCATCTTCCCTTTCCTGATAAAAGCGCTTTTCAAGTAAAGACTTAAAATTTATCCGCACAGAGGTCTAGGTGAACTGAGAACATTTGAGGTGTTGCCTTTGAAAAGGTCACTGACCTCTTATCAAAGATCAAACACTGGGCTGATGAGATGGCAGGCAGCTGGCAGCAACTGGAGGGATGTGTTTGCCAGTGTGACCTTTCCTTGCCTTCTGGAGGTGTCCCCCGAGTGGGAATGGTTAACTAGGCCAAGGGTGAGGTGAGTTCGCCTGCTGGAGGCACCTGCTGGGACTCTCCTGGGGGTTGTCTGACATCCTCAAAGGCTGCCTCTCTCTCTAAGCCTGGGGCCATTAAGGAATGACTGTCAGCTTTTCCATTTCTCTTTTTTTTTTCATTTGTGTCTGTGGGTTTTTGAATCTAGTTATGCCTGAGACCACAAGCTGTATTCCTTTGAACAGTTTTTTCTAATACTCTTCTTTATTTCTGGATATGCATCCATTTTTCTTCTACCCACATCTCATCCATATATTCATTCTTGGTTGCCCATTGTATTTCTGTTACAAAGGCCTATATTCATGATTTAAAATTTTTCACACATCAAACTGTTCTGCTGAGACATTCTCCTGAAATAATCTTTTTTTATGTAACTCTAGTTCATCTCTACTTTCTATGCACAGATTTGAAGGTTTGAAGGACTAGGTTCAAGTTGAAGGTGGCTTCACCAGCAGTACATTTTTGGCAAATTAATTTCTAAGGCTGGGTTTGTCAATGAAGTGGGAATAAAAGGGTCAGCCATAGTGTCATAAGAGTCAAGGTAGTGTTTCTGAGTTAGTGTAAACTCAAAAGTGAGGAGACGCATTTTGGTCTTCTTTTTACCCATCATAACTGTCCCTCAAGCAATACTTTTTAATGGAGGGCATGAAGACACGCATCATGTTTAGTAGTTTGTGAGAGATGAGACGGGATTGTGACTCTGACATTGTCCCCCATTGCCTGAAATAGCTATTTTTGCCTTTTCATCACATTACTGTCAGCTTCTCTGCGGGCATGATAACATCATTTAATGCAGAGACAGCCCAGAGGAAGGCATCCTCAGAAATGTCCAGTGGTCAACAAGGGGTCTGTGGTGATGGGCTACATCCACAGACAGCTTCTCTAAGGATCCAGGTCCTTCTGTGGAGCAGCTGTGTGCCGCATGGTCAGGCTGAGATGCCTCCAGGTCACTCAGAAGTTTGGACTAGGAACATGAGGCACAGGATCCTCTGCCCCAGTGGGGAACAATAAAAGCTAGTATTTTTTAAATACCTACTATATGCAAGGTAGTTTCAACACTGGAAACTGCTACCTTTGGGTTTCTGCCAATCACCAAATATG